ATACCATATTATACCATACCATACCATATTATACCATACCATATTTGTTATACTATACATTATATATTATATTCTATTATACTATACGATATTATACTATACTATACGAAAACAATATATTAAAACCATACTAAAAGAATAGAAAAAAGGATTTCATCAGAAGGCTTGCAAGGAATTAAAAGGAATGATAACAAAATCTTGTGACTGACCAGAGAGTCTGAGACAGCTGGGCTGTGATTGGCCATTAATTACAAACAACCACATGAGACCAATCCCAGATGCACCTGTTGCATTCCACAGCAGCAGATAACCATTGGCTACATTTCATTTCTGAGGTCTCTCAGCCTCTCAGGAGAAAAAATCCTAGCATGAGTATTTTTCATAAAATATATCTGTGACAGGTTGGGTATTAGGAAAAAGTTTTCCACGCAAAGAGTGATAAAGTTCTGGATGTTCTGCCCGGGGAGGTGGTGGAGTCACCATCCCTGGGGGTGTTTAACAAAGCCTGGATGTGGCACTGGGGGCCAGGGTTGAGTTGAAGTGTTAGGGAATAGGTTGGACTCAATGATCTTGAAGGTCTGTTCCAACTTTGTGATTTTGTGAAAATTAATTTTGAGGATGGTGGCACCTGTGGCATCTTGGTGTGCAGAAGCCAGCAATGCTTGGGAAGTATCCCCTCACCTTAAGAGAACTGTTGTTCAAAGACAGTACAAGAGAAAAAAAAAGGTACTAGAAAGATAAGCTAAATATCCCCAGTCTTAACAGGACAGCAGTGAGCAGATCAGAGGAGCTTTAGGGTTTGAGGGAAAAAAATTAAATAAAAATGGCATGATGGGCTTTGGTAAAAATTCGGATGCCTGTGTGTCACAGAGCCACAAGGACAAAGATGCCTGCAGACCCTCAGGTGGCCACTGAGCATCAGCTCACCTGATAAGTAACAGGGCCACGTTCTCTAGGAACATTGTTCATCATAGGTGACAGCTTCTGGGATGCAAGACTGAGTTATCTCTAATGAAAGTGATGACCTCAGACTGTAATTAATTAAAATGCACTGATGTAAACTGCATCAAAATGGCATTGATGGCCACTTCACACCTCACAGGTTTGCTGACTGAAGTCCAGTGCAAGTCAAAGCGACTCAGGAAGAATTTCAAGCAGAAGAGCAGTTTCCTTTGCAACATAAAGCTGGAAGATGAGGGACTGAATAGTAAGCAAGTATCATCTACAACAAGATCTGGAAAAGTGGGATATTTTTCTATTTAAAATATTATCTCTTTTTATCACTTATTCTTACTCCAAATCGTTGTGATTTGATTGGTTTATTGTTTTAGCAGATATCAGAAAAGATGGAACTTACTCCAGGAGAACATCAGCTTCTTGACCACATTGTAGCAGCTCACCAAAAATACACAATTCCCCTTGAGGAAGCCAAGAAGTTTGTAGGTATCCAGCACCCCCAGCCTGCATTGCTGAGTCACTGCTGTTGTGTATTTTGGCTATATCCAATGTTCAAATGCTCTTTTTGCAGCTACAGGAAACTGCAAGCCCTGAGGAAAGTTTCCTCCACCTGTCTGAGACAGCTGTTGTCCATGTCCAGGTGTTGGTGGATTTCACAAAAAGACTCCCAGGTGAGTTCCTTCCTTTGGGGAACGTTAGAGGAACCAAATCAAACTGGTGGCATGAACCAGAGAAAAATACAGGCTGTAAGAAAAGGCTTTAAACTGATTATTTGTACTTCTAATGTGTCATGAGGACAACCTAGAAACTTTCAGTTCAAAACTTTGCTATTATTAGATTTCTTCTCCATTTCTGACATGGAGTAGAGACATTTTCTGGAAGTACATGGACCTCAAAATACCACCTTGAGGGAATTACTATCTCACCACATTCTCTGAAATCCAGTTGAGTCTACAATTTATCATAATCACCACAGGAAAAACCAGATGTTCCTTCAAAGGAAAAGGCAGCACTGAAGGGACTAACCAGGTGTTCTTATTCATATTTTCCTTTCATAAAGAACAAGGGAACATGCAATTAAATTCACTCCATTTCAGTGTAAAGTTGACAAAATAACTTTGACAGGGAGGGTGATAACTTTTCTCTGTAAAACTCACTGACAAAGGTCAATCACCATATCTAAAGCAGGTTTTTGATGTAATTCAGCATCTCTGTGGGGCAGAGCTGAAGGAAGGAGTGAGCTGTCTGTTTGCTTGTGTAACATATCCTGCTTTGATCAGGTTTAAGAAAAAAATCACCAAAGTTCCTTTGCTCTTGAATTACAAGTCCAGACAATGAGCTTGTCAAAAGATGAACACGATTTCTAAAAAGAAAATAATGTAACAATTAATGGAGTATCCACAGTCACTAAACAATGCAGCAAATTTATCAGGTGTTAGGCCTGTATTTATCAGGTATTAGGAAGAATGTTTGGATAACCATTTGGATAACCAGTCCCAAATTTTTTACTTGTATCTTCCTGTGAATTTTTTAACACTGAAAACTCCCCCTCTTTTTTTTTTTTTAATTGTCTAACCTGCAAACTAGCAAGAAAGATCCCAAGTCTTCAGCACATGCATCATTAAACTGTGGCTCCTCCTTTCCAGTAAAGATATTTATTTTAAAAAAATATTTTTTTTCACATCATGTTGAGGGCTTAAATGCAGCCCCAGCCTTCCCTGATTCTGAACATGCACCTTTCTCTGCAGGGTTTGAGAGTTTAGCCAGTGAGGACCAGATTGCTCTGCTGAAAGGATCCACAGTGGAGGCAATGTTCTTGAGATCAGCCCAAATCTACAACCAAAGAATGAGCGAGTGCCAGCCATCAACCAGTGAAAGTAGGTCTGAAATACTTTGCATCATTGTGGGGTGAGTGGATTATGTCAGCTGTATTAATTACCTATTATACATTGTGTCAAATTTAACACAAGAGACCTTGACCAATAAAATGCAACCAAAGAACTTGGATCCAGATGCCAAAAAGGATTTTATACCTTTGTGGGTCTGGGGAAAATTTACACATTTTCAGCAATGATACAGACAAATATTTAAGATTGCTTTAAGCTTGACTGGGAACTGTCATCTGCCTTGTTCCAGGTCATGTAAGACTTTCTGATCACGGGACATGTTGTCATGTTCAAAGCCTTGATAAAAGCAATATTTATTCCATGGAAATGTGTCATAATAAAGAGAGGCCAACTTCTACTACTACCACAGGTAATGGAGGTCTCAGAATCTAAACACTGAGAATTTTTTGCTTTACTGGCCCTACTTTTCTTACACTGAGCTACACTATCCCTGTGGTCACTGTTCCATCTCCGTGCCTCTCTTCTTCCTCTCTTCTCTCTTTCCTTCTCCTCTCCCTTGAGCTGCTCTGGCATTACCTCCTCAGATATTACACAGTGGCATTACATCCTCATGGCAGGAAGGGGTGTCTTCATACTTGCTTATACTCCTTGGGTAATATACACATTCAAATAAATATACACTACCATAAAACTTTTGTTATTATTTTAGCAATTAACATTATTTTCACAAAATTAGTTCACTATTTCATGCAATAGAACAGCCCCAAGCCTTAAAAGATTCACAGAATCATGGAACAGGTGAGGTTGGAAGGGATCACAGTCACCTGGTGCCACCTGCCTGGTCCAGAAGGGTCATCCCAGAGCACATGGCACCAGCTCATCTCCACATGGGTCAGGAATATCTCCAGTTAGGGAAACTCCACACTCTCTCTGGGCAATCTGTTCCCTCAAAGGAAAGTAGTTTTTCCTCATGTTCAGGTGGAACTTCCTGAGCATCAGTTCCTGCCCGTTCCTCTGGTGCCATTGCTCTCCTTGCAGACAGGGACATCCAGGCCTGAGGGCCCCTCTCAGCTGGGGCTCCTCTTGAGGCTGAGCAGCCCCAGCTCCCTCAGCCTTCCACAGAATCATGGAATCACTTAGCTTGGAAAAGACCTCTAAAATCACAGAGTCCAACCATTCATCATTTCCTCGGAAGGGAGATGTCCCAGTCCCCTCACGAGCTCCACAGCCTTGGTGGGACCTGCTCCAGGAGCTCCATGTCTCTTGTCCTGGGGAACCCAGAGCCGGACACAGTGATCCAGGGTCACCTCGCACCCTTCAGGCAAAGATTTGTAACTATTCCTGCACTGAAATAACATCCTTATTATTCTGCACCTTTGTTGGGTGGTTTTGGTTTGTTGGTTTTTTTTTGTTTTGTTTTTTTTTTGTTTTTGTTTGGTTTTTTGGTTGGGTTTGTTTGTTTGTTTTTGGTGGGGATTATTTTTTTGTTTGTTTGGTTGTTTTTTTTTTTAACCAAAAATTGTTGGGTTTTTTTCCATTTTCAAGGCATAACTGAGGAGTTCATCACCGCCCTATTCTACTTCTACAGAACCATGGGGGAACTCAAAGTGACCGAGACCGAATACGCTCTGCTCGTAGCAACAACAGTGTTCTTTTCAGGTAAGCTGGGACGGTGACAACAACGAGCTGTCACTTGCCCCGGGGGAGCTCCCGTTGGTCCCCTCAGGGGCGGCGGCGCCGACCGGACCCTGAGGGGCGGCGGCGCCCGGAGCATCCCGCTCACGGCTCTCTCCCGCAGACCGCCCGTTGCTGAGGGACAAGCGCCACGTGGAGGAGCTGCAGGAGCCGCTGCTGGGGATCCTGTACAAGCACTCGAAGCTGCAGCACCCGCGGGACCCGCAGCGCTTCGCGCGGCTGCTGGGGCGCCTCACGGAGCTGCGCTCGCTCCGCCACGCCCACGCGGGGGCGCTGCGCGCGCGGGACCCGCGCCTGGCCGCGCCGCTGCGCGACCTCTGGGACCTCCACTAGGGGGCGCCAAGGCCGCCGGCCCGCGCGCCCCTTCCCGCCTGGGCCGCGCGCCGGCGCTTCCCGCCCTTTTCGCCCTCCCTCAGCGGCCGCCGTGAGGCGCCGGTGCCGGGCTCGCTGCTGGTGTCGGTGCCGGTGGCGATGTCGCTGTTGGTAGAAGTGTTGGTACCAGTGCCGGTGCTGGCATCGGTTTGGGTGCCATGCTCAGTGCTGGTGGTGATGTCAGTGCCAGTGCTGGTTGTCGCTGCTTGTGTCAGTGTCAGTATTGGTACCAGTGTTGGTATTGGTGCCAGTGGTGATGTCAGTGCCGGTATCAAGTGCTGGTGTCACCGCTTTTCTCCAGGCCCACCGAGGAAAGCCCGTTCAAACCACTCGTGTGGCAGTCCCTGAGCACCGGGCAGGGCCCACACCCAAAGCCCGGTGACCCCTTGGGCCGTGGGGCTGTGTTGGATCAGTGGTGCCACCAGCTGGCCCTGGCCTGGCTGCAGCGGGCAGGGGACACTGACAGGGACATGGGGACAGTGCTGGGAGCCCCGGGCAGAGTCCTGACCTGAGCACACTCATCCCGGCCTGTCCTGGGAATGTTCAAGGCCAGGTTGGACCAGACTTGGAGCAATCTGGGATGATGGAAAGTGTCCCTGCCCATGGCAGAGGTGGCACTGGATGAGCTTCAAGGTCCCTCCCAACCCAACCCATGGTTCTGTCTGTGAAATTCGCTGGAGTCATTTCTCTGCAGACTGCCAAGACTGATGCAGGAAGGAACATCTTTGACTTCAATTTCAAAGACTTCTGCCGTTATTCTCTATCAAGACTGAAGGAAGTCTTCTCGATCATCTGCTCTGTGTTGTAGCTGCACATCACCAATGATAAATCCATGTTTGATGTGGGTGATTCAGCAGTGAGCAGTGCCCCACTTGGATGCTTGCACTGGCTTTGAAGTCCTGCTTACACCAGACCAAATGTGCAGTGGAAATGTTCTGTCACCACACTGAGAATTGAACAAATTATTGTTTCATGTTGAGGTTCCTTACAGAATATGTTCAGATTCAAATGTGATATTCTGACAGGACATGAGTTACACTATTTATCCTATTTTTTGTGACTTGAAAACCTTGTAAAATGGCATTTTCATACTAAAACATAATCAGATGTGGTGTTTAAAACTACCCATGGGAGTAAAGAAAAAAAATAAATATCAACTATTGGACTTTAAAGAAATTATTTTGCTTCGTGATTCCTTTATCATGCACCTGTGCTCAGATAGGCAGCAGCTGATGAATTCTCCTCATCAAAACATTCCACTCTGGCCTCAGCCTATAAAGCAAACTACAAAACACCAGTGCTTTGAAAAGCCACTGTGAAGTATGAAGCAAGTGAGTTCCAAAGCCATTACCAATATTGGCAATTTCAAAAATTGCAGGCAGTTGATTTATTGATTAAAAATCATATTTTCACATCAGCTGTAATTTTTTTTTTTCTTCTGGATTTTATAATCCTTTACAAATCTACCCATAGGGAACTAACTCTTAAGTTTGTGCAGAGTTTTAACAAATGCCCAGATGATGATTTTAATTTGCCATTCAGTCCCTGTACTGTGGCAAAATCACTGATTCAGGTAAAACTAAAATAAATTTTACCTTGCTCATTCTTTAACATTTTTGAATATTGTCGAGTTTTAATATTCATGAGCAATCAAACAGTTTAGTAGCTGTAAATGTTAAATAGAGTTTCACTGTTAGGTTTTTTAAAAATACGTTGATCAAAATCACTTCATAGTTCAGATATGATTTCACAGGAAGTAAAACTTTGCTCTGAAGCAGATAAAGAAATCAGTTATGCATCAACTCTGCTTATCTAAATTCTCAGGGCCTCTTAATTTGGTCACAAACAGCTCCTCAAGTATTATTCAGTGGATATTTCAAGACTAAATAAGAAGGCAAAGGGGAATAATAATTCTCTGTTTCCTGTTTGCAGCTGAATCACTTCGAGGAGAACTTTTGAAGATTACAAGAGGAAAAAACATTACTTGAGTTTTGCACACTTACAGTCATGGTCCAGTGAGGAAATTTACTTTTCAGAACCTGATTTTCAATATCTTAAGCAATTTATACTAAAAGTATTTCTAGAATATAATACAAGTACATTTGATCTTTGTTAAAAATCTGTAAATATATGTAATAATTACAGTTTAGTAGCATTTTTTAGTAAGCATCCTATTTTTCTTAAAGTTGAATTGAAAATCCAGTTCAGAGAAGAAAAATACTGAGCATTTCCCTCTTCTATTCTGTCCCACCTGGGGCAGAGTTTTACCTTTAGCATTATTTTGATGCTGGGTTGCTACTGTTCATCCTTGACAATACTCCAAGAGGCTCTGGATTGTCTTTGGTGCTAATTTGTTGTTTGTTTTTTTGTTTAGCTTTGCCCTCAGCACAGTGATTGTGTATCTCAGACCAACAGAAATATCTAGCACTTTCCAAAGAAATGAAACCAAATCCAAAGGGCTCTGTGGTCTGAGCCAAACAGCAAATAGGATTATGAAGTATTTTCAGACCATAAATGGAGATTGCTGGCATATGATATGCAACAAAGAGATTTGCTGTTTTACTCTGGGGTTGATAGGAAATGCTGCAGCTAATCCTAGGAAAGAAAGAGAAGAGCAGACTGTGAATCTATAAATTTGAGAGATGAGAGCTGTGTTTTGGGCTGTTACAGAGACTGGCAACAGGCAGATTAGCTTTGAAAATTCAGCAGCCACAGGCTGTTTAAATTCAAAACCTGGCAAAACCACTTGTTTCTATGGCAGCATATCAGGATCTTATTTCCTTTTATCAGTGGAGAGCTGCAACTGGATGGAGTTGGAAATAATTCCTCTACCAGAATACTCATCTTTCAGAATCTGGTTGGTTTTGTCTGTTTTTCAGCAGCAGAGCTTCTAATTATTGGTTGTTTGCAAGTGTGGACATGTTTTTACTTTACTATACTATACTTTACTTTACTTTACTATCTACAGCTGCATATTTCATGGAAATAAGAGTGGCCCTGCTCTGTAAGTAACCTGCTCATGAGATCACAAAGTTTTGTTTTCTTTGTGTTGTACCACTACCAGGGGCAGAGAGAGTAGGAATAATGTCTGACAACTTCTCATTGTTCCTCCTTTTGTTTTTGGCACTGGTCAGTGACAGAGAATCCTATTAAATTACTGCTACATATGAGCTTCTGGTATGCACTGAATTTCTGTAGCCCATTACAGACACTCCTGGGGAATGAACCCAAGGATTTTATAATTACTAAATTCTGTTTACAGATATCACTTGAAGCACTTCCTGTAGAACATCAGCACACCATCATTCACTTAATGAAAGAGTAAAATCACTGATGTCAGGGAATGGATTGGTTTGGTTAACAGAAAGGTTAAAGATAAATAATTAACAGTGTAACTGGCTGTTCCAGAACAGGGCTGCAAAGCTGGGCTATAAAAGCACATTAAAAATTTCTATCACTGAGTCTCTGCAGGTCAGCAGGAGGGCAACCAAAGAAACAGATCCATGAGCACCAGACTGGGGGTGATGGATTTTAGGAAACTGCATGGAAGAAGCCTCAGGCACTCACAAATTGGGACACTGGACTTTGCTGTCCTGCCAGTCTTTTGTCCTGCTGCTCCCATAGCTCGTGGGATCTCACTCCCATCAGAGAGGTCAGTAGTGAATGCTCCATGGTCACAGCCAAAAGGACAATCCAGGAGGTTTTTTCCAGCTTGACAGTTTGTGTAAATGACTGAAGACATGTGAATATCACCCTTTTGATGGGCAGGATAAGGGGGCCAGCAAGGGAAAGGAGCAGCCAGGAGTTTCTGTGCCCATATCAGCATGGGGCTGAGCTGATAAGCAGCACTCACACTGGTCCCCAGCTCCACTCAGAGTCATTTATTGCCCTTGCAGATAAATGAATTTTCATTCTTAATACCTGGTCAGGTATTTCCCCAGGGCACTGCAGAGTGTTCAGAGGCTGGGTAAAAACATGGCAGTGTTATATCAGTGAATAAAGGCACCACTGAGACCAAACCAAC